GGTAGACTGTAAGCAAATGAGAAACTACCCCGACCTTGCAAACAGCCAACTTACACAGGCTTTTAAGGGCCTTAGTACATGAGGAAACAAAGCTGAGATGCAACAAGAGAAAAGTGGTGTTCTCCTTGCCTCTCTATGTTTCCATTCTCTTCCCAAGGGAGACAGTTGTAAAAGTGTGTCTTTTGTCAGGCTGGAAAAATCTGTTTGGCAAAAGTCATGCTTTTATTACCATCTCCCTCTGGAAGGAGAACGGAAGTGCTACAACATCATGCGGAGAGGCAAGGAGAAAGCTACTTGTCTCTCACTGCATCTCATCTTTCTTTGCTCATCCGATAAGGCTCTAAAGTATCATTCTCCTTTTGTCACACTGGTTCTGGACCACAACATGATGCAGCTTGGGTCTGTTTCCTATTTGTAGCCTAGGGTGGCCACGCAGTCCACTAACAATGGACAGAATTCCTCTCTACCCTTTTTACAGATAATACAGGTTTTCTGAGAGTTTATTTCCTGGACGTTCTCTTGATCTCTGAAAATCTGTTCCCGTTTGAGCCTTGGTTAAGCTTCTAGTCCCCATGAGTAATATAACGGGACAGTGGGAGAAAGAGATTCATTTTTGGTTTAATATCTGAAGGTTTAAAAAAAATCTGTTGGACTGTGACTGGTTAGTGGTCACTAAGCAAGTGTGGCCTCGAAATGCCCTAACTAGGAGAATTACCCAAAATCACTTGCTTCACTGTAACTCTGGTATATTAAGCCAAATATATATTCATTCCTTCATGGAGTCTGGGTGAAGTTACACATCTGCAAAGATGGAGCAAGCAGAGCTGAGATAATAGGGCAATTGTTAAATTTTAACATGGATTTCCCCTAGCCAATATTCAGTGTTTGCTAAAGAAAAAAACAAGCTAAAACTGGGAACAGGTTTTGAGGAAATGCCTTCTATGCAAACCATGGTGAAATGGAAAGAAATAGGCATAACATTTTGATGCATTGATGCAAAATTCTTACGGTGTTCACAGACATGCCAGATATTTGACTAGAGATGGGTGATCATCGGTTTACTTTCCAACAGGAATGAAAAACTTTCAATGGTTGGGAGGGGGAGTGGGGGTCAAATCAACAAGAGGGTCATACCCCTTCTGCTGTTGGTAGTGCAGCGCCCCTCTAAGTGATGCATGTTTTCATTAAAACAAAGTGTATGGAGAGCACGTGCCCTTTTTTGAGGCTGGCGTGCTCTTTTGGGAACATGACGCTGGTTCAAAACAAGATGCATGCTCTCCGTGCACCTTGTTTCAAAACACAATGTTCAGGAAGGTTGCTGCTGTGCTGACAACATTCATCAGCAGTTGGGGAGGGGGTAAGACTTTAAAAATGGGCAGGGGTCTGCAGACATGACATTTTCCACCTTTTCTTGTTAAAAATAAAAAGAGAAAAGAAGCAACCAGGGCATAGTAAATGGCATGTGCCCCTTGTTTTTCATTGTAGTGCCAATGGAATCTGAGTTAGTGGACAGGTCTTGCAGTCAAGCATGGTGCCCTCCAGAGGCAATGGACTACAGCTCCCATTGGTGATTGTGGGATTATGGGAGTTGCAGTCCAGCACATCCAGAAGTCTGAGGAAACTGCCATAGTCTATAATGCATTGTCAACAGGGTAGGCCTGTGAGTACAATAATCTGAGTGCCAAATTTTTTGTGACTGCTTACGTGTGCAATCGATTTAGTTACCACCACCCAAAAGGATGTTGCAGGGACACACCATTGATCTCTGGATCCCATTACCGGTGTGGCTTTGCAGACACAGGAATGAAGACAGACTGAGCTATGGCATTGCTTGCCTGATGCAAGAAAAGCAGAGGGGCTGATGGGCTTGCAGATGCTTCCAAGTGTGAAACGTACCAAGATTGGTCTACATGCCTTTGCTGAATCTCCAGGGTTCTTGAAGAGCACTGTTCATGTTTGAAACGGGAAGAGGAAAGCATGCATTTAACTCCACTTGACTGTGATCCTGGGAGATGTTACGTGCAGTATTTATATGAGCTTTGCAACAACTTTCCCAAAATACCTGCAAGAAGAGATTGTTGGGGGGCTGGATCGCACCCACCCTACTCCTGGGCACTCCACAGCCCAGATGGCCACAGTCCTGGCATCATCATGTCTCTGGCCATAGCACTGGTTGGTGCTTCTCTAGGGCCCACTGGCTGCGGAAGAGACTTGTCAAGTAGCCCTTGGAAATAGGCAACCAACAAACTTCTATCCTTGTGGGAATGGATGATTCTGTGCATTGTCTGAATTCACTGATTGTGATGCACCGCAAACCTGCTCAGGTTCTCAGTGCCTCCTGCGAATCGGCAATCAAATCCTGAACATCTGAGAGGTGGCCAAGCATGGACATGTCATGGGGTCGCTGTCAACAGTGTCTCTCCAAATGTTCCCAGATGGGACAGGGATTTGAGCAATGACAATATTATGTCAGGCCGGCCACTGTTGGGTGGAAAGCCATGTATAGCAGGAATGGGCAACTGTATGGGGGCCATGGGCCAGTACTTCCTGACCCATTTCTACACCCAGCAAGCCCAAATCCTTCTGTTTTCCTCTACAGTCCCTCTCAAAATGGCAACTGGAAGTAACATCGCATCAATTCCCATCACCATTTTGAGAGGGACTGGAAAGGAAAACGGACATATTTGTGGGTAGTGCAAGGTTCTGGGGTGTTTGTAAGTGTGGGGTAGGGGTATTTTTGCATGTTTTCTTGTTCTAGTGGGGCTTTCTGCATGGTTTAGGGGCATATGTTCCCCAAACACCAGACAAATTTTTGAAAATACATGAGGGAGATGGGGAACTATGGAAGGCCATGTGCAAGATGAGGGCCTTCGAGAGCCAGAAAAGTGGGATCCAGGGATGACACACAGATCCCGGGTAACACTATGCCCACCTCTGACGTAGAGGAAGGAGGCCATTCCTTGCTGAAATACGTGGGACTCTGATGCCTGGTATGCCTAGGAATCCTGTTGGTGGCATACCACTGTGTCACTGGGCATTACATGTTTGTTTGTATGGATGTACATGTTCATAGAATCCTAGAGTTGGAAGAGACCCCAAAGGCCATCCAGTCCAACTCCCTGCCATGCAGGAACTCACAATCAAAGCATCCCCGACAGATGGCCATCCAGCCTCTGTTTAAAGACTTCCAAAAGGAGACTCCACCACTCTCCGAGGGAATGTCTTCTGTTGAACAGCCCTTACTGTCATGAAATTCCTCCTAATGTTTAGGTAGAATCACTTTTCCTGTGATTTGCATCCACTGTTCTGGGTCCTATTCTCTGGAGCAGCAGAAAACAAGCTTGCTCCATCTTCAATATGACATGGCTATCATATCCCCTCTTAGCCTTCTTTTCTCCAGGCTAAACATACCCAGTTCCCTAAGGTGTTCCTCATAGGGATTCATGGTTTCCAGACCCTCCACCATTTTGGTCACCCTCCTTTGGACACAGTTCCAGTTTTTCAACATCCTTTTTGAATTGTGTTGCCCAGAACTGGTCACAGTATTCTATGTTGCACAAGGAACTATTGGCTAAGCCCTTGCATAATATCTGCCCCTCTCAGAGGCAGCTGTCAAATCCCTTGGGATGCCATGATGGTTCTTTACTATCCTGGGGAAAGGTGACCATCCTGGGCCTTATCTACATGGGTTACCCCAAATTCTCCCCAGGCTTGCTGCATTCTTCTTACACGACACAGGGCCAAAACCCTGAATTGGGTTCGGACTGTCTTCACAGCACCCGCACCCAATTTGGGGTGTCTTCCCCTATTCTACATTGAAATAACTCATTACAGTCCATAGATTAAAGCTTCACAGCTTGGGGAGATAAATAGATACCTCATTTTCCTGCATATAAGACTACTTTTTAACCTGCAAAATCTGTTGTTAAAGTGGGGGGGGGTCGTCTTATACGCCGGATATAAGGATAAGGAGGATAGAGGTGCTAAAACTCTATATTTTGACTGGGAAGATGGGGGGTCGTCTTATACGCTGGAAAATACGGTAGATAGATAGATGGATAGATAGATAGATAGATTGATTGATTCTGAAAAGCAAACCTTGATCTTGCAATTTTATATATGGGACACCATTTTATTATCTGTTGTATTTAATGGGATTTGAGCATCCACGGATTTTGGTATCCACAATGGAGCCACTCTGAGTCCCAGTCTTGGTAGGAAAAGTGTAGTACAAATAAATGTAATAATAATAATAATAATAATAATAA